TGTGGTCAGTCTCAAGTGCTTTTGTATCCTTATCTCCTGGCATTAAAAAGCTCTCCCTTAAGACATCCAGCTTAGCGTTGAGTTTTACTTAGGCACCGAGCAGTCCCCAGACCCCCCCCCCCCCCCCGGGATGCCCCTTGCCCCCCGACATCCCCTCCCCCCCCCCCCCTGCCCGGGGGGCCCGGCCCGGGCTACTCCCGGATAGTCTGGGGGGGGGACGCTCCGGGACCCACGAGTCCTTCTCGGCCCCGTCCCTCCGCCGCTGTCTTTTGCCGTGCGTTGCAGAAGCCGTGGGTCTTCTTCTTCTTCGCGGGGCTGCAGCGTCCCCCCTTTTGCCCCAAAACGTCTGCTAAGGACCGGGATGAGCGTAGGCCTGGTGAGGAGAGCAAGCATCCCAGTCTGCGGAGGAACAGAAGAGAGAGAGAGAGAAAGAGAGAGAAGAGAGAGACAGACAGAGAGAAAGAGAAAGCCATGGGCCTCCTTCGGGGCCGAAGTGCCATTGTGCCTTGGATCTGGAGGGCACGTGACGGAGATGCCGAGCCGTCGGACGGAGGAATCGGCGGGCATAAGCCTCGCTGGCTCTCCACCTGTCCCGACAGCCAGCTCAAAGGACAGGAAGAGGAAAGAGCTGCTGAGAAAGTCCAGGGAAGAGGGGACAGGACAGGACAGTCACGCAGGATCGGGAGAGAACGAGAGTTTCCTGCCGGAGCCTTTTGGGGAGGGGGTCGCAGCAGGGCCTGAGCTAAGGCACCCGAGGCCTAGCGGGCGTTGAAGGATGATCCGGGACAAGAAATGCTGGAGAGTTTCCCCCCCCCCACATCCGGGCGAGGCCAGGGGGGCTCCGGTGTTCTTCCAGAGGAGGAAGCGCATCAGACAGACAGACAGACAGCCGCCACCACCAAGAGGAGTCAGCGTTGTAGTTGAGCCTAGAGCCAGGAAGGAGGAGGAGAGCCAGTGGCCGCTGACAGCGGAGAACTTTGGAAGACTTTGGACCAGGAGGGGTTGGGCGGAGGGAGGCAGGAAGGGCCGGTGTCAGGGCCACCGCGGTGCATGTGGCGTCTGCTAATCCACGTTTGGTGTGTTTGTCTCCTAATCCAAACAGAATGCCAGAAGCCTAGATGCATGTAATGTGGTTTTGCTGCCGCTGGAGAGGGCCACACACCAGGTACTGCCAAGCGCTTCCTCCCCTCTCGTGGCTCCTGCAAGGGGGGGGGGAGGGGCAAAGGGGACCGCTGACCTGGAATCTGGGACCGGGACAGGGGGGTGCAGCGGAGGACTCGAGCAGCAGCGAGCTCGTCAGGACGCTCCTGGGCCGCAAAGCTTGTCCTTGCCGGAACAATGGCAGCAGAGGGGGGCCGCCGCATGGCGCACAGCGGTGTCGATCCTACGGCTTGGCAGCCGGATTGCTCGGCCGGACCTCTGCGGTCCCAAGTGGCGTTTCTGGCTTTCTTCTTCCCGGCTCCTGCACCTCGGAGAGCGGTTGCCCGTTTCTTCGCTGAGCACGACTTTGGCTAATGCATGTGGGGCATCCACAGCACGAGGGGGGCTTGGCTTGCGCTAACCCGACGGGCCCCACCCTCACCAGGAAACCCGGCAGAGCAATTTTCTTCTGGCCTCTTGCAAGGCGGGGAGGGACCTCCGCCAACGGGTTGCGGTTTCTTCTGCCCCTCCTGGGAAGCCAGGAAGTGGCTGTTGTGGCCGGTTTAAGATCTTAAGTGCGGTGAAATTGAAGGGGGTGGGGTTTGCCCTTGATGGATGCATGGTTTGTTGCTGGCTTGTAGATGTCTGGCCTGCCTGCCTGGCCCCGAAAGGGGTGAGGGGGGGGAAGTGGGGGAAGGAGCCTGCTTGGGGATAGGTTGGGGGGGGGAGAGAAGAGCCATTCCTGCTTGCACCCCCTTGTGAAAGGAGCAGGCCGGGGAGCTTTCCCTGCTGTCTCTCTTGTTGGCCGCTCTTGGGGGGGGGGCTCCCCGTTTCCCCAGCCATCTTTGGGGGTTCTTATATCTCCCTTTGTTCTTTCTCTCCTCTTGTGTGCGCAGAGAATAGCGATACAGAAACTACCTCACTCGAAGCTCCGTCGCAACCGACTCCGGACGGCTTTAAACTTCCGGTTTGTTTTCCAGAACTTGGTCTGAAGATCGCCGACAGTCCCGCAAGCCGATCGCTCGATCGCTCAGCCTCCGCTCCGGCCGTCTGCTCTCCCCTCAGTAGCCGGAAAGAGGCCGAATGTCCCAGAGCTGCTGGGAAATCCCTGGATTCTCTGCTGGGGCCCTGGGGAGGGTCAGGGGGCAAGAAGCCCCCGGCCTCCCCACTGAACCTGGGGGGCTCAACGACCCCCCAAAACATACATGCTGCTTCCAGCTGCCTGCCGGAGGAGGCTGCTCCTGGCCGCCAGCCTCAGGAGGTGGCGGGAGAAAGCAGCCCACCCCAAGAGATGACCGAGCCCGACGCCCCCCTGCGGCTAGAGCCCACAGAGCTTCCTCCGGATTTTAGGAGGGACAGCAGGACCCCCGGGGAGGATCCCCCTTTGGGGGAATGGAGGGAGCCTCAGTGCGTGGGGGACGTTTCCTCACCAATGGCCGCTGCGGTTGAGGAAGAGGAGATTTCCCGAGGGGCCGGAGAGAGGCCGGAGGGGAGCCCAGCCCAGCCGCCAGGAGATGACCGCTTGCTTGAAGGCCCCCCTGCCCCAGAGGCTTCGGACCCACACCTCTTCGAGTCAGCCGACGTGAGCACCCCAGGCCCCGGGACGGAGCTGGGGTTGCACAAATGCCGCGGCCTTCCCCTGCCCCTCGGTCTCCCCACGGCGAGTGGCTCAACCCCGCCCGGGAATCCCGCCGCTAGCCGGCCCAAGGATCAAGAGGAAGAGGCGGGCATCTCCCTCGCCTCGGCCCTGAAGGAGCTGCACCGGCTCCTGGTGGTGAGTTCTAGACACGGCTTCCGAAGAGCGGGCGCTCAGCAGGCAGAGAGCTGCCCCATGCGGGAGGCTCCTCCGGAAGAGTCCGCTGCGGCCGAGGAGGCCTTGCCCTCCCGAGAGCAGCAAGCGAGGCAGGACCCGGCCCTCTCCCGCCCAGCCCCCTGCTTGGAGGCCGGGATAGAGATGCTGGAGGAGCCCCGCTTAGCTGGGGGGCAGCAGGAGGTTGCTCAAGGGGCCTCCGGCTGCGGCGACGCTGTCCCGGTAAGCCCTTTGGTGGCATGGCCTCCACCGCAGGCCAAGGAGTGCCTGAGAAATCCGGCCCAGCTCTTATTACCCTCTGGGCAGCACCCTGGCTGCGCTGCTGTGGGGCACAGCTCACTCACCTCACTTGGCCCTCCCAACAGTTGCAGCCCTTCCCCGGAGGAAGGGGGAGACTCCAGCGAGCACCCTGAGGCCGAGCCAGAGCCCTCGTCCTTCCCCGGGGCTTTGGAGCCCCGATCTCCTCCGGCCCTCGCCTCAAACCTCGATCAGATTGTGGGGGCCGGCTTTACACCCCAAGAAGCCGGAGAAGCTCTGGAGCACGCGGGGGGCAACGCCGACCTGGCCCTGCTGATCTTGCTGGCCAGGAACATCGTGGTCCCCACGTAGCCGAGGTTGCCTTTCTTGGAAGAGTCTCCGTCGTCCGTCCCCCCGTCCCGGTGGCTGGGTTTGATCCAGCTGTACCTTTTTAAAATTTTATTGTATTTTAAGAGAGCGGAGAAAGGAAAAAAAAAAAACACCCCTTCTTTTCAACCAGGACCATCCCCCTATTTCCCCTGGTTGAATTTTGGGCCGTTTTAAAGAAGCAAATATTATTGGCATCCGTATGGAATCCTGAGATTGACGGTTGCTAATCCTCCTCGGCTACATTTTCGGAATAAACTTCGTATTTAAAACGTATGGGGTTTTTTTAGAACGATATGCAAATATAAGGCTTAGAAAGGGTAGACCCAGCTCCGGGGGGGTGGGGGGTGCTTACCTTGGCGGAGTGCCAGGAGCAGGGATGGTGCCTGGCACCCCCTTTTCTCACCCCCGCCGGGGACGCTGCGTGCCAGCCGTGTGGCTGGGGCTCCTTTTCTGCTTTAGCTTGCAGCCGTGGGGTGAAAATTGGTCGTCCTCCCCAGGCAGAGCCCTCCAAGGGGGCAGCGCTTTCGGGGGGGGGGGTACAGCTGCAGCTGCTGGGTCAGCCCCTCAGGCTGGTCCCAAGGGGCCCTGGGTGTGTGTGTGTGTGTGTGTGCATTCTGGACCTTCTTTTGGTGCAGCTTTGGAATTCGGTGGTGGGTTGGCACAACGCTGCTGGGCTTGGTGTGGTGATAGCAGAGCTTAGGTCAGAGAGGAGGTTGATGGAGGAGCTCTGGGGGGCTTTCCAATTTTTCTTTGGGGGAGGTTAGGGGAGGGGGCTGCCCGCTGGGAGCCTCCCTTAACAAGTCTTCAGCATTGGGGGGGATTTGAAATGCAAGGCAGGGAATTAGTAGCTGCTGATCATTTTCCGCCCCGTAAAGAGGGCAGGCCATGCCTTTGGCGCAGGGGCTTCCAAACTTGGCAACTTGTGGACTTTCAACTCCCAGAATTCTCCAGCCCGTTGGACTTCCAACTCATCAGCTCGCTATCTTATAAGCCTAAGCCGGCTGGAGAATTCTGGGAGTTGAAAGTCCGCAAAAGCCTTAAAAGTCGCCAAGTTTGGAGACTTCTGCTTTGGCGAGAGTCGATGGCGTTTGAAGTTAAGAAAAGGCGGGGAAGGGGCTTCTGAATTTTCTCTGCAGCTTGAGAAATCTTGGGGGGTGGGGGACACATCTCCCCGTAATTCAGCACGAAGGGAGAGTTTTGAAATGGCGGGTGGGCGGGCGCACAAGCGACGTTTCTTTTGATTTGACAAATGTTGTTGGCTCTCGGCTAGGATTGACGGTTTCAGACGGCTGGGGGGGGGGAGACCCACCCCTCCTTTCTATGGGAAGGTAACGGGGGTCTCCGCATGGCCAGAGCTCCCTTGTCAGCTGCCCCAGAAGGGGCCTGCCTCTCTGGACACGGGTGCAGAAGCCAGGACTAAACCTTTGCAAACGGGGCAGGAGAATCCTGGAAGGCCAGCCGAGGGGGTGATGCTTTGGAAAGACACCTCTGGGTGACTTTGGAAGGCTACACTTCCTGGCAGAGAGCAGGTGGTGCTGGCACCGTTGTGGCAGCCTGCCAAAGCACTGGCCTGTCGTACAGGGCCTGCGTATAATTCACGGGAGGGCCGGCCTGGAATCTTGCTCCCTCCTTGTAAGCCAAACCAAGGCCTGGCTCACCGGTTAGCCACCCCTCGAGTCGGGTGCCACACGCAACGGCCCCGGGGGGGGGGGGAAGGGGTGGGCCCTCTCAGGAATCTGCCTGCCACGTTACCGGGCTGCCCTTCTTCACCCTTGTCTCGGCCCGCTGGGGCGACCGTTCTCTATGCCCACGAACGGTCGCCATCTTGGGAACTCGCTTCTTTTTACCAAAAAAAAAACAATAAAAGTAAAAATAAGGACGTGTTTGGCTGAGAGGTGCGGGGCGGTTTGCTTCTCAACTGGGAGAAAACCTGTAAACGTTTTGGATTTTAAAAAATAAAAAGATGTGTTTTCTCATAGCCGTTGTCCGGTTTTATTTTATTGATCGATCGATTTGTTGTTGTTTTTTTGACGGGAGCCACTCGGGCCAAATCGGAGGGGTTGCCAGGGCCAAAGAAAGCCGGGCATTTGACGGGGCAACCGAGGGGGGAAAACGGAAGGCAGCGATTGTGTGTTGGTGGTATCCCTTTTCCTGGGGGTAAACGTTAAGGACGCCGCTGTAGCTTTGCCTCACCTCGCCGACTTCTTTCACCAGCCGGGCATCGATGCCACGTCCAAGCGAGGCGTCCATCCCAGCAGGCTGGCTCCATGCAATGCGGTCGATGGTTCTCCGTGCTCTGTGCTTGTTGCCACCGGCCAGAAAAACCAGCCCTCCCACCCGCTGCTGGCGCGACAGGTTTTGGAAGTGCCCGCAGCGTCTTCTCCCTTCCCCAAGCTGGCAAGTAACTGGTAGCTCCTGGGTTGCCTGGCTGGTCTTGCCAAAGCCAGGTGGGCGTGCGCGGCGCCTCTTCCTTCTTGTCTTTGACTCATCAGGCCTGACCGGTTGAACAGGTGAAGCCTTGGAAAGTGTCCAAGGTGGGGTGGAGGAGAAGGAGGCGGCCTAGGCCAGCTTTTGCACAGGGGTGGCAGAAGTACAAAATAACAGAAGGGACCTTGGAGGTCTTCTAGTCCAACCCGCCCTGCTCACGCAGTCCATTCCAGACAAATGGCCGTCCAATCTCTTTTTAAAATATATCTTTATTACACATTCTCCAAACATTTACACCACATTTCCATTTTTGACAGTACATCAGAGTCAGCTTCTTTTCCATTTACATTGTAACACTTTCATTTTCAATTCCTAGTAAATTTCTCTACTGTTTATCCAATTATATTTACATTTCTGTCATTCCTTATATATATACATTTCCTGCAATTTTTAAATAATTTTATGAATATTCTTTTACTTTTCTCCTCTAGCCTCTCATACCATCCATCCCAAATCTTACAATGTTCCGTTTCCTTCTTATCTTGTTACTCCATCATTAATTTATCCATTTCTGCACATTCAAGCACTTTTTAAATCCGTCAATAGCTTTTTGAGGGGTATTTATCTGTTTCCACTATTGTGCGAAATCTCTTCTTAAAAGCCTCCAGTGATGGAAGCACCCACAACTTCTGGTGGCCAGAAGTTCCACTGTCCTCCCTGTCAGGAAATTTCTCCTTATTTCCAGGTTTCCATCCTTATGGCTCCTTGTCCTGCTTCCAGGTGGCTTTGGAGAAGAGCTTGACTCCTTGCTGCAGCAGAGGACCCGTGGTGGTGATGGTGGGGTCTCCCTCGCAGGGCTGTTTTTCTTGCAGCGGAGAAGCGGAAGAATCCTATTCATCGGGAGAAAATGGGCGGGGCCCGAACTACAACTCCCGGGATGCCTCGCTCCCGCAGGGGCCGCCGGGAGTGGCGGCGCCTGGCCGCGCCCGCCGCCACAGTCCTCTCGCGCGGGCGGCGACTACATCTCCCGGCCTGCCTCGCGCGGTCACGAGGAGGCGGGGGGGGCAGAGGAGGAGGAGGAGGAGGCGGCGGCGGCGGCCGCGGTGTTGAGGGTCGGCTCGTTCGCCCTCCTGAGGCGACCCTCGCCGCCCCGGCAGCGCCACCACGGAGGCCCCACGGCGGAGGCGGAGGCGACGGAGGCGGCTCCGGAGCCCCGAAGAGGACGGGGCCGCCGCCATGGAGTCCCCCGCGCAGCTGAAGGACCGCATCCTGGAGAACATCTCGCTCTCCGTCAAGAAGGTCAGCGGCGACCCCCCGCCCCCTCCCCC